GAAAAAAATTATACTATGATTGTTATAATTCCCTGGATAACTGCCTTTCTTTCAGTAAGACTGAAAGCTCTGTCATATTCCTTCTTATCCCCCCAGAAAATTAAGCCAGTGACTGGCACAATAGTGGGCATTAAATAAATAACAACATGATTTCTAGTCCTAGAAGTAATTTACAACTGCCTCTTAAATACATTTATCTGTATATTATTTATTAACTTTTAAAACTACTTTTATTAATGAATAATTTTATATAATAAAAAGTTCCCATTTTAAATGTATAGTTTGATGAGCTAAATAAATGTATACACACATGCAACCACCAACACAATCAAGATACTTGTATATGGGGAACAAGGCTAGAAATTATATCAATAAGGAAAGCCTAAAACTCTTCAGGATACAGAATTGGTTCCCTATTTTCCAATTCACAAGGTGTTTTCATTTTTTTCTCTCTTGCCAGACTAATGTTTCAAATTCTCGGAAGTACTGTATATAGAAAACCCTAAAGACTACACCAAGAAACTATTAGAACTGATAAATGAATTCAGTAAAGTCATAAGATATAAAATCAATGTACAGAAATCTGCTGCATTCCTATACACTAATAATGAAGCAGCAGAAAGTGAAATTAAGAGGGGTGCATGGGTGGCTCAGTTGGTTATGCATCTGACTTTTTTTTTTTTTAAAGATTTTATTTATTTATTTCAGAAAGAGAGAGTGAGTGTGAGAGAGGGAGAGCATGTGCAGGGGGAGGAGGAGACTCCCTACTGAGCAGGGAGCCCAATAGGAGGCTCAATGCTCGGCTTGATGTGGGGCTCAATCCCGGACTCCAGGATTATGACCTGAGCCGAAGGCAGTTGCTTAACTGACTGAGCCACCCAGGAACCCCTGCATCTGACTCTTGATCTCAGCTCAGGTCCTGATCTCAGGGTTGTGAGCTCAAGCCTCACGCTGGGCTCCATTCTGGGCATAGAGCCTACTTAAAAAAAAAAAAAAAAAGAAAGTGAAATTAAGAAATTGATATAACTTACAATTGCTCCAAAAACAATACAATATCTAGGAATAAACTTAACCAAAGAGGTGAAAAACCTGTACTCTGAAAACTATAAAACACTGATGACAATATAAAGAATGGAAGAACATTCTGTGCTCATGGATTAGAAGAACAAATATTGTTAAAATGTCTATACTACCCAAAGCAATCTATAAATTTAATGCAATCCCTACCAAAATATCAACAGCATTTTTTACAGAACTAGAGCAAACAATCCTAAAATTTGTATGGAACCACAAAAGACCCTGAAGAGCCAAAGCAATCTTGAGAAAGAAGAACAAGGCTAGAGGTATCACAATTCCAGATTTCAAGTTATATTACAAAGCCGCAGTAATTAAAACAGTATGGTACTGGCACAAAAATAGATACATAGATCAATAGAATAGAGAGCCAGAAACAAACCCATAATCATATGAACACTCTTCAACAAATGGTCTTGGGAAAACTGGTCAGCCAGATGCGAAAGGATGAAACTGGACCACTTTCTTTCACCATACACAAAATAAATATGGATTAAAGACCTAAATGTGAGACCTGCAACCATAAAAATCCTTAAACAGAACACTGGCAGGTATCTCTCTGACATCAGTCATAGCAACATTTTTCTAGACATGTCTCCTGAGGCAAGGGAAGCAAAAGCAAAAATAAACTATTGGGACTTCATCAAAATAGAAAGCTTCTGGACAGCGAAGGAAACAATCAACAAACCTAAAAGGCAACCTACAGAATGGGATATTTGCAAATGACATATCCAATAAAGGGTTGGTATCCAAAATATATAAAGAACTGATACAACTCAACACCCAAAAAATAATCCAATTAAAAAATGGGCAGAAGACATGAACAGACATTTCTCCAAAGAAGACATACAGATAGCCAACAGACACATGAAAAGATGTTCATTACTTACCATCAGGGAAATGCAAATCAAAACTACAAGGAGATACCACCCCACACTGGTCAGAATGGCTAAAATAAAAAAACACAAGAAACAACAAGTGTTGGTAAGGATGTGGAGAAAAAGGAAGCTTCTTGCACTGTTAGTGGAAATGCAACCTGGTGCAGCCACTGTGAAAAACAGTATGGAGGTTCCTCAAAAAGTTAACTACCCTATGATCTAGGAATTGTGCTACTGGGTATTAACCCCCAAAATACAAAAGCATTAATTCAAAGGGATACATGCACTCCTATGTTTACTGCAGCATTATTTACAACAGCCAATCTATGGAAGCAGCCCCATCGATAGAAGAATGGATAAAGAAGATGTGGTGTGTGTGTGTATATATATAAATGTATACATATTTATATACCATGGAATATTATTCAGTCATAAAAAAGAATGAAATCTTGCCATTTGCAGCAATATGGGTAGAGCTAGAGAGTATAATGCTAAGTGAAATAAGCCAAAGACAAATACCAGATGATTTCAATCATCTGTGGAATTTAACAAACAAAACAAATGAGCAAAGGAAAAAAAAAAGAGAGAGACAAACCAAGAAATAAACTCTTATCTATAGAGAACAAACTGATGGTTACCCAGAGGGGAGGTGGGTGGGGGTGGGGGGATAGGGATGGGAGAAATAGGGGATGGGGATTAAAGAGTACACTTACCAGGATGAAAAAAAATAAAATGAAATGAAAAAAAAATTCTCTTAATCAAAAACAAAAACAAACCAAGAGGCAGGCCTAACAGTAGCATCTTCTGAGAGCCCCAAAGCTGGGGAATTTCAAAGCAGATTAGGTGTGTTATGGTCAGTGGATTAAAAAAAAAAAAGACGAATTCTAGGTAGATCCTTGGCAACAAAATTGTCAAGAATTCTGCCCCTGATTTCGCAGAGTTAACAGAAGTTTGCCAATTATTTAATGTGCGTGTCGCACTGTGGTCATTATAGAGATCTATGAATGAGACAGTACTTGTCCAAGACGTCACTATCTCCTTGGGATTAAGGTCATACAAAAATAATCATAACGCAAGTGTAAGTGTCATAGAGAGACACACGGGGAATACTAATTGAGGTCTGAATTTTTTAAGAGACCAGCCGTATCTTTAAAACATATTTGGTGCTTATTAATAACCTAGTGTGGTAATCTCTGGAAGTCAAAGAAGATTAGGATGAAGGAGCCAGGCCTTTCTTATTTTTGTTGTTTTTTTTAAAGCAATTAGAAAACTTGCAAAGACAAGTCTATGACTTGCTTACATTCCAGACTCAGTCTCTCAGTCAGAAACCACAGTTTTCCACTGAAAGTGGCACAAAATGGGTTTCTGGAATGTGAGAATAATGGAAGAGTGGTTAAGGTCCAAAGTTGAGGTGGCCTTTCTTCCCTGAGAATGTAGAAATCACACCAGGACAAACAAAAGAGAGAGTGGAGTGGGTTTGGCAGTGGAATTTAAGGATGACTGGAATTAGAAAGTTAAGGTGATAATTCTGGGCTCAAAACCAAAGTGATACTCAGATCCATCCTCACTGATTGGGAAGAAAGGAGTCCTCCTCCTAGAGTTGAAATGATGAAGTGTCCTCCTCCTCACTAACCCCGTGGGAAACTATCCTGCACACAGTTGGAACTGGAAGTCTGTGTAGACATGTATGCCTTGTATAAACTAGTTTCAGATAAAAAATTCCCTTGGTCACTGAGCATGCTCAGCTTTCAGTCTTCTGCAGAAAAGTGGACTGGGTGGCTCCAGCTTTTAGCTTTGGCAACTTGGGTCGGGAGAGCCCGGTTGTGTCTGGCAGAGGCCACAGGTGGAATCTTGAAGAGAAGGGTGTGAGGACTAGGGGGCAGCTGGTAGGGGAGTCAGAGTGGGACCCAAAAGACAATCCATCAATGTGACTGACTTTGATCTGGTCGGCAGCCCTATGTAAAGGAACCAGATGGTTTTCTGGAGATGGGGAGAACAGATGTTCTGGTCCTAGTCCTTGGGAATGAATCAGGGGCGAGAATGAATGGTCGTTTATTATCCAGTAGTGAGCCTCCTGAGTCCTCCCCAGCTACTCCTTCTTGGGCTACAATCTCCCTTTGCAAGATACTGGGTGTTGGTGCAGAAACCCAGGAGCTGGTTGGAGGATGCTCACCTGGCAGCCCGCAGCCGACGTGCCCCACCTCCCCCACTCCTCCCTCCTCACAAGCTCAAAATAGTCGCCAGGAGCCAGCCAACATCTGGCCGGACTAGAACAGGCTCAGAAACTCACCTTTGCTACCTCGTTTTTGCGTTTGGGCTCCTGATGGGGTGCATCCATGCCAATGAGAACCTTACAGATTCTGACTCCTCTGCTTTTGACGTTATGGGGAGAGGGACTTCCTATTAGTGTATAAACAATAAACAAACATCCAGAAGATGTGCGCCCAGGTTACACAGCCTGCAGGCGGTGCCCGCGGACCAGAGGGCACGGTCGAGGCCCCGGCGCGGTGCGGGGCTGAGGGCAGCCCGCTCATTTCTGGGGTTGCTGGCAACCGGGGAACCTCAAAAATCACACCGAATCTCGTAGCTCCGGGCGCCCATGGCGCGCAAGGTACGCTTCGGGGGCGGTCCTGCCTGACCCCGGAAGAGAAAGTTGTTTTGGGGAAGGGGAGCGAGGAGACGAGAGCGAGTTAAGTAAAAATCAAAGTTGTTCTGCTCCCCTCAGGCCGCCTCTCCTCTGCTTCATCTTTACCCCAAGCTCCATTGGAGTCAGGCTTCCTCGGAGGGCCGGACGCTTCCCGAGTCCCAGCCTGAGTACGGGGATAGGTAGAGCCCCGCCCGCAGGTTCCGACCCTCTCTGGCTCCGGGCCTCCAGGAAAACCCGGAGCGGAGCATCCCCCGGGTCGGGAAACGCCCTCGCGCGCGCCCACTGGCGCGCATGCTCAGTCGCGCGGCGGCCGCGAGTAGGAAGCTCCGCGCGGAATTAGCGGCCGCGGCGGCGCGACTGGAGGGTGGGAGGAGGCGCACCGGCTGGCGGGCGGGGGCGCTGGGACGCGGCTGGGGCTCCCGCCCGAGGTTCCTGCGAGCGCTTGGGACCGCGAACCCCCGCGCGAGGAACTAGCGAGCACGGGAGCCAACGAGTGCAGAGTGGGCAGAGGGCGGAGCGGAGCCGCCGGGCGGAGCGGGCTCAGAGCCCGGGTCTCCGCGGCTCGGCTCGGGACCCGGCGGCGGGGACGGCGATGTTCCACTGCATCCCCCTGTGGCGGTGCAACCGTCATGTGGAGACCATCGACAAGCGCCACTGCTCGCTGGTCTACGTCCCCGAGGAGATTTACCGCTACGCCCGCAGCCTGGAGGAGCTGCTGCTGGACGCCAACCAGCTCCGCGAGCTGCCCGAGGTGAGTGTCCGGCCTCACCTGCGCGCCGTATTCGGGAGAACACGGACGAGCCTGGCCAGCCCTCTCCCCCTCCTCTCTCCCGCCGTCTCCTGCCTTCCCCACTCTACCCCCCTTCCACCTCCAGATCCGGTCCGCAGGTCCCACTGAACCACCACTACCTGTAGTCACCTGCTTCTTCCTCCCTTACCGCCCCCCCCCCCCACCCAACCCCGTCGCATTAAAAGTTCCTGATCATTCTGTACAAAGCGAGCGACTTGCAGTTTTCCAAGTAGTCACTAGAGCTTCTGCGACTAGGGAGACGTTCTGGTCTGGTAAGTAGTTGAGATACACGTCTAAGTACTAACAACTGGTGCCTGTGGTGAGGAGCCAGGTGGCTCGGGCTTTTCCCGGGTGAAAGGACAGAGCGTGGCATCCGCTCCCTGGGCAGTTTTCCCTGCGTTGCCTTCCCCTATCACTGGCCAGGGCGCACTTCCCCGTTGGCTCTGGCAGGTCCGGAGGAGGTGGGCAGCGCTCAGGAGAGTCGCACTATCTCGGCATCTTCCGAGGAATGTGCCCTGGGCCTTATCGCGGGTGGGCAGTGCTTGCAAGTGCTGTAGTTTGGCTGTCCGGTCTTGGCTCCGGGACCATTGGAGAATTGGGGGTGGGTAGGAGGAGATCGGGCAGGAGGAGAGCTATGCCTTGGGAGCTGTGGGCAGGTGCCCAGGTGCCCGCTGCTGGGTCCCTGCCTGCGTGGACCTGTTGCGTGGAAGGAGCCGCTGTGAACGTCAGCAGAGACTGTGCCTGACGGGCCAGTTTTGCAGCCGCCTCTCCCGGAGCGGGTACGTTCAGGCTCCTGACTTCTGCCCTTGCAGTGATGCGTTACCTCTTCAGAGTTGTTTACGTAAATTAATCAGTGTGCTGAGGCTGAACTTGTTAAGCGATAGATGCTGATTGAGCTTTAATGGAGGGTCTGTGACTGCGAACTTTTAACCTTCGAGCTTGCGCCGGGAACTTAGCTTGAGTAACCCTCGAAGAGGAAGGTATCACAAATCCAAAGGTGTGCAGGAAGTCGGTGTGCAGTAATCCAAAGGTGTGCAGGAAGTAGGGAGACTAGATTGCTGGGAGTTGGAGGGAGGACCCGAGGCCTGGAGTTGGAACTCAGACAATCTTTCTTGTCCTTTAGTTAACCGAGGCCCAGACACTGTCACAGAAACACTCGCTAGTCAAATGATCTGGCTTGTTAAAATGACCTGCCCGAGTGTTTTAAAAAGCAGAACAGTGTGTTTTTCTTAATATTTCAAGTGTTATTCTTCTTGGATTAACTTTCCTTGGTTCATGTGGAATTGGATGGTTTGCTCTGTGTAATCATGGAGATTATCCTCACTAGGATCTTTGCAAAGCCCCCCAGGCTTTATTTAGCTTAGAAGCAGAAAAGCCATCCAATTCCCTCAGGCATTTATTATTTTGCAGGCATTTCCAAACACATGGCTTTGTCTGGCCTTTAACTTCCTTAAATTTGACTTGAAAGTCATAAATAAGCTCACTTGCTGCCTTAAGTTGTGAATAAGTTTTAGGCATTACTATCGCCAGAAATACAGAATATATTATTTAATACTTTTCAAGTGTGTCAGAATGAAGTTATTAGAGATTGAGTGAAAAGCTATTTAACTAGAAATGTTTCAGTGTTCCTTGTGGTATTTTTGTTTGTTTGTTTATTTGTTTTAGTAGAACTGGAAGATTTCCTTTGACTGGATTGGCTTTTCACTCCCTTCTGCAAAGTTTGTGGGTTTTCCTGTCATGTTGGGGAATTCAGCTTGGTAAGGGGAAATTATGGGTTTTGGAAGTGTTAGGTATTCTTACTGATCCTAACTGGACACTTCTCAGAAGCTCAAAATAGTCTGATAGCACTCTGTACATACAGTAAATAAACAAGCTTTTCAGAGACGAAAGGTGGTCTTGCTTATGGGTAATTACTGCTCTTAGAGTTCTGAAATTAGTTTTATGGCTTCTAGGTTGTTTAAAACCTGTTTCTTCATGACTTATTGTGTCTGGGTGCCGGGATGTGTATAAGCCAGACATGAACAACCACCTTGAAAGCACAGATATTTCATTCAAAGGTACAGTCTTTCCTTGGGCTGCTAGTTTCACCTCTAAGGTCTGTGTTACACATGAGCCCTGTTCACTGCTCTCCCTGCCCCCTCCTCCAACCTCTATCTCTTTACCTTCCCTATCACCTGGAGGCCTCTTTTGCTGACAGACCCCCAAGGTCCCTGTGGTGGTGGTCATGCTGGCTATCTGTTCTCTGTAATTTGTTTGGAAGCACAGACAAGGGAGGGGGGAAGACTGCACCCCGTACCCCAACAGCAAAGATACAGTATCCGGGCTTCAGGATGATGAAAAGGTTTGTAACCTCTGACTTGCTCCAACTTCCTCGTTTTGCAAATTGAAACTCGAACTTGAAGTGACTTTTTCAAGGCTGTCCATCTGGTTAGATGCAGTCACTGGTCGCCCCCTTATTCAGCAGCTCTGGACACCTAGCAGGAATCTGGCCTATTCAGCTTCTCACATCCATTAAAACCTGTTATTTAGTCCCCTCCTGTTTTACTCACATCATGAAGCCTGGCCTCTATCAAGCAGTTATTGACCCTTCATTATTTATTGTTGGTAGGAATATAGAGATTAAAGAAGGTATGATTCTTAGGAGCTATTCACAGCTTTGTGGGGACACAGATGACTTTAAAACAGAAGTGGTGAGTGTGGGGTGGAGGGGGCATAGCAGTTAGCTTGATGGTTACTTACCTAACCTAACCTTTTGCCGAACCTGCCTCCCCGCCCTCAGCAGATTGTCCACCTTGTGATAGCCTCTCAATGCTGCTGTCTGCAGGGAGGGCTCGGAACATTCATCATTAGCCAGACCCCAGATAGATGATAGTCTCACCATCCCTTCCCATCCCCCTTCTCCTTCCCACTTCCTCCCGGCTCCATCCCTTTGGCATGTGTATTAACAGAGACAATCTGACTCTAACCTTGAGATGCTGGCATGTTTTTGCTCATACTTATGAGTGAGCACTGAGCCTGGCACCCAATAGGTCCTGCTCAGTAAATAGCTTTTATCTGTTGAATGAATTTAGCCAATTCTGATATAAATCTTCCTCCTCTGCTTGTTTCTCTTACCTTAAGCATACCACTACTCTGACATCTATCCTTTTCTAATATAGTCAGAATATTCAAGTTGGGAGTAATTTTTTTTCACGACTGTCTAGCTGGTTAGATGCACAGTCTCTGGTTGCTTCAAGTTGGAAACCACTTCAGAAGTTAAAGGTCATTGATATGGTGGAGCTGTTTTGTCTTCTCCAAGATCCTCTACCCCACTCTGTACCTTCTCAGTGTTTCTGACACCGTCAGTTTCTCCCGCAAGGTGCATGGATTGTTGAATACCTTCACATATGTGTGTTTTACTGTGATCTCTCTGGCTCCAATACAGAGCCTAGTCTAATGGGCAGCAAATATTTTGAATGAATGCTGTTGAGTCCGGGCAACTTATAAAACTGAGCTTCATCTTGTCACCTACTCTTAATTAGGATTCAGTTGACCTTTTGATGATAGCCAGATGACATTATCTCAAATATCTACCCCCTTCTAGCATTCTTTCTCATATCCTGCTTAAATTTTTCCCAGCCCTTAGAGCACTATTACTACCTAACTCTAGACTATAAACTTGCTTACTTGTTCTTTGTCTCCCCAACTAGAACATCAGCTCCATGAGGACAGGGATGTTTTTGTTCATGGATGGACCTAGGACAGTATCTGGTATATAGTGGGCACTCACATGCTTGTTGCATGAATGAGTCTTCCCAGGTGATGTCATGTATAGTCTGTCCCTGTTTCTCAGCCATTGTGATCCTCCTTCCTACAGTCTCACATCTGTATACCAATCTATTGAAACTAGTCATGGCATAAAGTCATTCTGAATTCAGTAGTCTTATCTTACCAGTCTTTGTTCTCCATCTCCTCTGTGCTGGGCACCTTTGACTGTCTTCTCTTTTTGAAATAATTTTTATGCATTGTAAACATAATTTCTCACTATGACTTCAACATCTCCAACTGTGATCTGTTAAGAGGATAGCCATTCCCACTTGGAATCCAAGACCCTTTTGTCTTAAATTTACCATGTTTCAATTTATGTCTGTTTCCTGCAGTTCAATTTCTGATGGGTGGGACAGCCATTCTTCCCAGCCCACAAGTCCATGGACCAAGGCTCTTTGGGCTTGTCTTGAAGGAGCAGAGACCAGGGGTGCTGGAATAAGATAGCTCAAATGCTGCTCCGTCACCTGGATGCTTTCTTCAAGCCTTGATTTCCTCACTTATTATTTTAGTACCTGCTTTTTAGGGTTATTCTGGGGACTAAAGAGATAATGCATGCAGAGCACTTACAGTCAGATAGAAGATGTCTAAGATCTTTGTAGATACTGTGGCAAGACACTTTTTAAAAAATAAAACAATGTTTCTTAACCTGGAATTGGAAGACATTTTCCTGGGAGTTCGTAAATGGTTTTTTAAAACCAGAATGAGAACTTTAATGTTCTTTTCAATAATAATTAAAAAAAATCATAGACTCCATATATCTAGGTGAAGTCACAAATGAGTAGAGCCATAAGGTTTTAGTAGTGCCATAATCTGTGTTTGAGCACTCCCTTAATTGTCTCTAGCCAAGGGGGAAAGAAAAGATGTGGGCTTATTGCAGAAATCATGTGTTTGGGTCAGATGATCACTGGAAGTTCCATGAACAAAGGTTTCATGGCCATTTGTTAGAGAAGACTGATGGGGAGCTGAAGGGGTCACGGAGCCCATGGTGGCATAGGCGGGCAGAACTGCGAGGAACCCGCTCCGAGGTAGTGCTGTACCGTTGTGCACAGCCATGGGATGACTGCAGAATTGCATCGTCGTCCTCTGTCATGTTAGATTAATGTTGAGTTCTTTCTTGTTGATTTTTGTCAGATTTTTACCTTGGTTCACCTGCT